ATTTGCATGTTTTTAAAGTACTAGGTTGGCAGGAGCTGGGGTTAACAGTGGGAGCTCACCTCATCCTGCAGCTTCAAACTGACAATCTTCTGCTCAGCAAATTCAGCAGCTCAGCGGTTTAATTATATATTTCTGTGTGGAAAGTTTGGACCAATTCTGTCATTGGTGGGGTTCAGAATGCTCTTTGATTGTAGGTGAACTATAAATCCCAGCAACCACAACTCCCATATGTCAAGGTTCTATTTCTCCCAAACTCCGTCTGTGTTCATATGTGGGCGTATGGAGTATTTGTGCCAAGTTTGGTCCCGATCCTTCATTGTTTGAGTCCACAGTGCTCTCTCGGTGTAGGTGAGCTACAACTCCCAAACTCAAGGTCAATGTCCACCAAGCCATTCCAGTATTTTCTGTTGGTCATGGGAGTTCTGTGTGCCAAGTTTGGTTCAATTCCATCCTTGGTGAAGTTCAGAATGGTCTTGGATTGTAGGTGAACTATAAATCCCAGCAACTCCAACTCCCAAATGTCAAGGTTCTATTTCTCCCAAACTCCGTCTGTGTTCATATAGTCTGTGTCCCTATCTTTCATTGAGTCCACAGTGCTCTCTGGATGTAGGTGAACTACAACTCCCAAACTCAAGGTCAATGCCCACCAACCCCTTCTAGTGATATAATATGAAATTATAATTATATATATTTATATTAAATGTGATATTACTAATAATATTACAGTATTACCCTTGCGCTACCTCGAAGATTTTGGCAGAGCAAGGACCAAACCACAACATTTTCCTGCCTGCCTTTCCTTCTTCCTGCCACACGAGGGCTCCAGCCTTTGCCTTTGGACTCCAACTCCCAGAAGCCTCGGCTGCTTCGGAGGCCGGGCAGGGATCCTGGGAAATGGAGTCCAAAACGCAGAGGCCTCCTGATAGGGAGAGAGAGGAGAGGGATGCTAATGAGGGGGCGGTGACGGTTTGACGTCATTTCCACTGAGCCCATTTCCGGTGTGGCTGAGCGGGAGCGCCTTGGGCCTGCCCTGAATGGAGAAAGAAGGTACTTCGAGGGAAAGGAGAGGGGGGTCTATTATGGGATGCCAGGGGATCTATCTAGTCCTTCCCCTTTCAGCCTGAGCCATGGCTTCCCAAAACAGCGTCTCAGTGTCACTGGCTATGTTCCAGCAGCATTCCCTCCTGACATTTCGCCTACACCTGTGCCTGCCATGCTCAGAAGTTCTGTTGGCAGTGAGGCAAGTGGAGGGTCTATCTATCTATCTAGCCGTCCCCTGCCAGGCGTTGCTGTGGCCCAGCCTGGTGATCTGGAAAACAAAGTCATGAGAAAGTGTTGGTTTCTAATATATATAATTCCTTTCTGCTTGTGGGTCAACAGTATTTCTTGCTATTGTCGAAGGCTTTCATGGCTGGAATCAATAGGTTCTTGTGGGTTTTTTCGGGCTATAGGGCCATGTTCTAGAGGCATTCTCTCCTGACGTTTCGCCTGCATCTGTGGCAAGCATCCTCAGAGGTAGTGAGGTCTGTTGGAAATAGGACAATGGGTTTATATATCTGTGGAATGGCTGGGGTGGGGCAAAGAACTCTTCTCTGCTGGAGCTAGGTGTGAATGTTTCAACTAACCACCTTCATTAGCATTTGAAGGCCTGGCTGAGCCTGTGATAATCCCCTGTTGAGAGGTGATTTGATGTGCCTGATTGTTTCCTCTCTGTTGTTTTGCTGTTGTAATTTTAGAGTTTTTTAATACTGGTAGCCAGATTTTGTTCATTTTCATGGTTTCCTCCTTTCTGTTGAAATTGTCCACATGCTTGTGGATTTCAATGGCTTCTCTGTGTAGTCTGACATGGTGGTTGTTGGAGTGGTCCAGCATTTCTGTGTTCTCAAATAATATGCTGTGTCCAGGTTGGTTCATCAGGTGCTCTGCTATGGCTGACTTCTCTGGTTGAATGAGTCTGCAGTGCCTTTCATGTTCCTGGATTCTTGTTTGGGCAATGCTGCATTTGGTGGTCCCTCTGTAGACTTCTCCACATAGCTGTATGGTATACGGTCACTCTTTTCTAGATGTCCTAGTCATCCGCAAACCAGATCAACAATTGGGTCACACCGTCTACAGAAAACCCACACACAGAGATAGATATCTACATAAAAACCTCCAACCATCACCCAAGTCAAAAAAGAAGCACCATTAAAGCCTTGGCAGACCGTGCAAAAAGAATCTGCGAACCCACCTCCTCCAAGATGAACTGAACCACCTCAACTGGGCTCTACAGGCCAATGGATACTCCACCTCAGACATCAGAAGAGCTGCAAGACCAAGAACAAGCCAGAGAGTAAAGATGAAGATCCACCCAGAGGAAAAGTGTTCTTGCCATACATCAAGGGAACCACTGACCGCATAGGGAATCTGATGAGGAAACACAACATACAAACCACTTACAGACCCACCAAGAAAATCCAACAAATGCTACGTTCAGCAAAGGACAAGAGGGATCCTCTCACCTCTGCAGGAGTCTACCGTATACCATGCAGCTGTGGACAAGTCTACACAGGGACCACCAAACGCAGCAGCATTGCCCAAACACGAATCAAGGAACATGAAAGGCACTGCAGACTACTTCAACCAGAGAAGTCAGCCATAGCAGAGCACCTAGACCCATTGGTGGGGGGGGGGGAGGTCACGAGGGGGTGTCAAAGGGGTCACCAAAAACCATCAGAAAACACAGTATTTTCAGTTGGTCATGGAGGTTTTGTGTGAAAAGTTTGGACCAATTCATTTGTTGGTGGGGTTCAGAATGCTCTTTGATTGTAGTTGAACTATAAATCCTAGCAACCTCAACTCCCATATGTCAAGGTCTATTACTCCCAAACTCTGTCTGTGTTCATATTTGGGCATATGGAGTATTTGTGCCAAGTTTGGTCTAGATCCTTCATTGTTTGAGTCCACAGTTCTCTCTGGATGTAGGTGAACTACAACTCCCAAACTCAAGGGCAATGCCCACCAAACCCTTCTAGTGCTATAATGTAATATTATAATTATATATATATTATTAAATGTAATATTATTAATAATATTACCATATAATGTTATAGTACGATGTAATATATAATATTAATATTGTGCTATGGTAATAATATAATATTTTGTATTTACTTTTGACTTGTAAGCTGCTCTGAGTCACCCTTTGGGGTTATTTATTTATCTTGTCAGGGGCAACCAGACATTTGTGTTACATTTCTAACAGAACAAAACAAACAAACAAACAGACAAAAAAAACAAAGTTTGCAAGCTTGGTAGTTGATTAAATGTCCTTTGACCAGTAGCTGACCACTTGGAGTGCCTCTGGTGTTACTATAAGAAGGTCCTCCCTTGTGCATGTGGCAGGGCTCAGGGTGCATTGCAGCAGGTGGTCAGTGGTTTGCTCTTCTCCGCACAAGCATGTCGTGGATTCCACTTTGTGGCCCCATTTCTGAAGGTTGGCTCTGCATCTTGTGGTGCCAGAGTGCAGTCTGTTCAGCGCCTTCCAAGTCGCCCACTCTTCTGTGTGCCCAGGGGAGAGTCTCTCATTTGGTATCAGCCATTGGTTGAGGCTCTGGGTTCGAGCCTGCCACTTTTGGACTCTCGCTTGCTGAGGTATTCCAGTGAGTGTCTCTGTAGAACTTAGAAAACTATGTCTTGATTTAAGTCGTTGACGTGCTGGCTGATACCCAAACAAGGGATGAGCTGGAGATGTCACTGCCTTGGTCCTTTCACTATTGGCTGCTACTTCCCGGAGGATGTCAAGTTGCACAATACCGGCTTCTCACCTTTGGGGTGAGAAGGGCGGCGTATAAATGATGTAAATAAATAATAAATAAATAGTGTTATCTGTTGATCATGGGAATTCCGTGTGCCAAATTTAGCTCACTTCCATCACTGGTGTTCAGAATGCTCTTTGATTGTAGGTTACATATAAATCCCAGAAACTACAACTCCCAAATGACAAAATTAATTTTTTGAGTTATGGTCACTCCTTGGGTTAGTAGGTGCCTTGTGGCCAAATTTGGCGACAATTCATCCAGTGGATTTTGAACAGAGCATTATATATATATATATATATATATATATATACATATAGAGAGAGAGAGAGAGAGAGATCCCCATGGAATAATGTCCAGGGTGGGGAAAAGAAGGACCCTTGTGTGTTTAAAGCAATTGTGAATGCTGCAATGAGCACTCTTGAATAGCATTGAGTAGCCATGAAGCTTGCAAAGTCAGTCAGTGAGGGTCTCTGCATAGAGATGGCCTGTTCCCTATTGCCTGGAGGCACCCTCTGTTTGGGAGATGTACACTGGTCCTGGATTGCTTGCTTCCTGTGGTTCCCCTGTTTCTGAGTGGGGTTCCTTATTTACTGTCTTGATTCTGATGTTTTCTTCTAATATTGTAATGATAATGGTATGATATTATAGTTGTGTATTTTGGGTGGATGGATGGCATCCTTGAAGTGACCGGCTTGACCTTGAAGTGACCTCATCTTTTCTGTCTAAATAATCTTGCCAAAATTGTGTTTTTCCTGCAGAATATTTTGGAGTATTTTGGATGGATGGATGGCTTGACCTTGAAGGAGCTGGGGGTGGTGACGGCCGACAGGGAGCTCTGGCGTGGGCTGGTTCATGAGGTCACGAAGAGTCGGAAGCGATGAACAAATGAACAACAAAACAATTTTGTTTTACATGTAATATTAGTGGTAGTGTTGCAGTGCGGTGGTGTAGTGCAGTATAGTAATATATAGTGCTGATGTTGTGCTGTGCTAATAATATAATATATTGTATGTATGTGTGTGTGTGTGTATGTATATATATATATATATATCTCGTAAGCCGCTCTGAGTCCCCTTCAGGGTGAGAAGGGCAGCATATAAATGTCGTAAATAAATAAATAAATAACCAGAAAGGGAGAGATAGGAGGAGGAAGGGTTGTTCGCCTTGACTTACGTGTTGTGCTATTCCTTTGTTTCAGCTCCGGCTCTACTTTGAGGAGGAGGCTGCATAATTCCACCCAAAAGCAAGAGAGTTTTCCTGGATCCAGGCCTCAGGGTTCTCTCCAAGGAGGTCAGAAGGAAGAAGGATTTGGGTAAGCACTTCAGTTGCCCTTCTCTGAAGGTCTTCCCATGTCTAACGCTGGTGCCCTCCAACCACTCTCGGGGGTTCATGGAGCTCGGAGCCAGTGAGCTACAGGAGGAGAGTCCTCAGGCACTTCTGCTGGGCTTGTGAGTGGGCCCCTTGTGCTAGGTGGCTTTGGCACAAAGCAAGGTGGCCTTCCATTCAAGGACCGGTCAATCTAGACTTTCTCTTAAACAGGAGACCCATCTCAGTGAGCTGTGGCATGGATTGGAACTCCCCTCATGGATGGTAGTCTAGATGGCCCCTGCACTCTTTTCCAACTCTGTGACTCTATTCAGGGGTGCAGAGGTTGTATCCGTGCCTCAGGCTGTAGATTTGTTATGAACCCAAAGAGGTTCCTGTTCTTTTGTGCAGAGTGTATAAGGAATAGTAAGGTAGCTTAGATCAATGAGACACTTTGGAGACCAAATTTGGTTTTATTTATTTATTTATTTATTTATTTATTTGATATACTTGTATACCGCTAGTATCTCAGCCCAAATCGGCGACTCACTGCGGTTTACAGCAATTAAAAACAATTTCCAATTTAAAACATATACACATACAATAACAAATTATTGGGCCACCAATAACAATCCCATATACCTCGAATTGAAATCGCAGTCTAGGATTCGTTGTCCATGTTTCTGTCCTTAGTCATCAGGATTCGAATTGCCACAGATTAGCCAAATGCTTGTTTGAACAGCCATGTTTTGAGTCTCTTCCTAAACACCATCAGTGAAGAGGCTGATCGTACCTCTATAGGGAGGGTGTTCCAAAGCCGGGGGGCCACCACAGAGAAGGCCCTATCTCTCGTTCCCGCCAGCCGCACTTCTGAAGCTGGAGGGACAGAGAGAAGGGACTCTCCGGAAGATCTTAGGGTCCTGGTGGGCTGATAGGCTGAGATACGTTCGTTCGTTTGGTTTTGACACTGTTCATGTAACATTTATTGAAATACAATCATCACAGAATCATATCAGAATCACATCAAGGAGAGCTCTCGTGCACACACACATTCATTCATACTCACGCACACACAGGCCTTCTCCAGCGAAGGTGATCAGTCTTTCCGAGAAGGTATGGACACTCCATTGCTGCAGATCAGGAAGCGTGCAGATTGTCAGGGGTCCCCTATATTTATAGGCCAAAATCCATTTTTCTTCATTTCAATAGTCAAGTTGTTCTGTTCTCTTTCAAGTTCTCTCAAATCTTTGTTCTCTCCAAAGTTCAGGACATTCGCATTCCAGGCCTCATGATTTATGGGGTACCTCCTGTATGCATCCTGCACTCCTTACATGCTCAGCCGCACATCTTATTCTCCATTGTCATTCAGTTATGCCTTGCTGCGTCCTCGCTTCGACTGCCAAGGCCGTCCCACATAATGCTTTGCGAGAGAGAACTCCATGTTGTTTTCTTCATGCCTGTTTCTTCTGCCCTTCTACATGCATACAGACATTCATTCTTTACATGTTGAGGACAGCTATTCCACCATAGCCTCCTTTAGAGCAGGCTAACGGCTTCTCTTCAACCTGCTCCTTAGAGCAGAGCCTTTGAGCATAGATCTCCTCAGAGAAAAGGCTCTCCAGAACTGTATTCCAAAAACCCATACAGTTATACCCTATCAGGTGTGGTCCAAGATTGCTAGTTGACCTACATTACCAGCTGCACACAACAAGGTTTTTCTTCAACACACACACACTTGATCCTGTTACAACTTACATGCTTCCTGTAGCCAGCACCAGTTAACGACCTGGTCACTGCTGTTTGGAGCAACTGGACACAAGTTTCAAATAAGGCACTCCAGGCCACCCTGGGCTTCCAGGTCCCACTCTGGATTCAGAAGTTCCCCAAAATGGTGGGCCTGTGTCTTTAGGGGGAGGGTAACTCCACCTGGCACCGGCTGGATTCCCTGATCTGCCTTCCAACGGACCGGGAGGACCTCTGTCTTGTCTGGATTAAGTTTCAGTTTGTTCACCTTCATCCAGTTCATTACCGAAGATAAGTAGTGGTTTAGGATCAGGATAGTTTCCTGGGCTTTGGGTCTCATTTGCATAGAGATGGATACCACTGCACTCCAAAAACTCCCAGTTTCCTGTACTACGTCCATAAGAGATTCCTTTCTTTCTTATTTTAGTGTTTATTTATGTGTTCTTTTAATCTTAAATTTGTTTTGAAAACCTAAGAAAATTAATTTTCAAAAATATGTTCTGGATGCTTTCCAATTGATTAGAATGATAACAACAATAAGAGAATCAACACAGTTTGGCATATCTTTTATTGCCATGGAATCCTGGGTGTTGTAGTTTGTGTATCCAGCATTCCCAGTAGATAGAACCAGTATCAACCATATCATCATCATCATCTTTAATTACCTATTAATCGCCCTCGATCCGAGAATGCTCTAGGCGATTTACAAGCTAAATTGTAAAAGATAAAAATACATACATACAGAAATTAAAAATTAACAAGAGATTGCTCTAGTGAAAAGCCAGGTCTTAAGTGCTAGAGTAAAAGGCCCTAAGTCACACATGGCTCTCAAGTAGGGCGGCAAGGAATTCCATAAGGCAGGGGCAGAAAGAGAAAAAGCCCATCTGCGCCTGGTCCTTTCCAAGTGCACTTCTCTAGGACCCGGTATATAGAGTAAGTTGCGTTGGGATGGTTGTTGCAACCTCTGATGATGGGAGAAGGAGAGGCGGTCCCTAAGGTACGATGGCAGCTGAGCTTTTTACTTCCATGTGCCTGCCTTTGGTTTGGCTATGACTCCCAGGGTGTTTTTGGATATCCAAACTTTCCAACTCAAACCAGGTCACACGACCAAAACAAATTGGACCGTTCCACAAATGAAGATGTTATGTAAAGTTCTTTGAAGGGTATAGACCCTTGGAGTGATATTTTTATTTTTTTTATTTATTTTCAGCATTTTTACCCCACCCTTCTCAACCCCCGGAGGGGACGGACTCTGAGCGGTTAACAAAGGCAGCAATTCGATGCCACAAATCAATAACACAGTATAAAATCATAAATACATACAGAGTTAAAACAATAACAATTAATTATAACCAAATTATCATAACAGTGCCCCCGGTGGCGCAGTGGGTTAAAGCCCTGTGCCGGCAGGACTGACGACCGACAGGTCGCAGGTTCGAATCCGGGGAGAGGCGGATGAGCTCCCTCTATCAGCTCCAGCTCCTCATGCAGGGACATGAGAGAAGCCTCCCACAAGGATGATAAAACATCAAAACATCCGGGCGTCCCCTGGGCAACGTCCTTGCAGACGGTCAATTCTCTCACAACAGAAGCGACCTGCAGTTTCTCAAGTCACTCCTGACACGACCAAAAAAAATCATAACAGTCATTAAATTACAGATATGACCTTGCACTTAGCATATTTACTCAAATCTAACACTCACCTTTTCTGGCTAAATCACTTTGCCAGAATTGTGCTTTTCCTGTAGAATATTGAATGGTTTTGCTATGTTTCATTTTGTAGTAGGCACATACTTGTTTTGATAGGATAGTTGATTCCAATTTTTGTTTTTCTCCAAATGACTAGATTCATGTTACACAATAATTTTCCTGTGAATTTGCTAAAGTTCATTCATGGCCAATGTTTTCAGGTCATATCTGTTACACTGAAAATTTGGTGCCACTCTGTATTCCTCTGAGACTTAGCTAACATTTACTCTTCATGTATGTCTAACATTCTCATGTTACGTATTATTCTTGTCAGTCCATTCACCACAAATATCTTGGACTTTCATTCCACCTTTCCTTGCTCTTCACCACTTGTGAGGTCAGCAGGATTTTCATTTTGGTGTTTTTTTTCCATCTCGTCTTTCTCCTTTTAGCCTCTGCCAGCTCTTGAGGAGGCTGTTGTGTGGCTCTCTGAGAAGGAGTGGAGTGCCCTGGTGGGCTTGGTGTGTGGAAGATATAGTGGAGACTGGCGAGAACATGGCACCCAGGTAAGATTTTCCTAGCTTTAAAAAATGGGTTGATCACAATTCACTTGGGATGCCGGTTGAATGCAGGCCATGTACCTTGGCCCAAACTGTGCCAGACCTGAGCTTGTGTGAAAGTGTTCAGTGTAAAGCTACTGTTTTGCCAGGTGTGAATCTTGCACAGTTCATCCACAGTAATTGGTTGTGAATGTGGTCCCTCCCTGTCTTCCTTTTCAGACCCAGGGGTCTGATCCATGTAGAGATGCTGGTCAAACTAAGTCAGGGGTCCCCAAACTAAGGCCCGTGGGCCATATCCGGCCCCCCAGGGGCATTTATCCGGCCCGCGCTGGGTCACCGTGCCCTGAAGGGCTGCCCCTCCCAAGGGCAGCAAGAAAGGGCCGGATAAATAGGCGCCGTCAGAGCCGGGGGAGAGCTGGGCACCGGTGTCTGGAGGAGGAGCAGGAGCAGGAGGCTGGAGAGGAGGAAGAAGCAGAGCTGGGCTCCCCTTCTCCACTCGGCCCTCCTGGCTTTAGCTTCCGGTAGGCAGCTCACGCAGGGCTGGTCTAGCAGCATTGCCTGCTCTGGGAGTTGGAGCAGTCGCTTATCTACGCTGCCCAGGCAGCAGCGCCCCTTCTCTTCTTCCTCTTCCTTCTCCAGCTGGCCATCGAGGAGGAGGAGGAAAAGGAGAAGGGGTGTTGCTGCAGTTTCTTCTCTTCTTCCCCCTCTTCCTCTTCAATGGCCAGTTGGAGGAAGGAGGAGAAAGAAGAGGAGAAGGGCCGCTGCTGCCTTTCTCCTTCCACTCCTCCAACTGGCCATTGAAGAGGAAGAGGAGGACGAAGAGAAGAAACGCAGCAGCGCCCCTTCTCCTCTTCTTCTTCTTCCTCCTCCTGTTCCAGCTGGCCATCAAGGAGGAGGAGGAAGAAGAGGAGAAGGGGTGTTGCTGCAGTTTCTTCTCTTCTTCCTCCTTTTCCTCTTCGATGGCCAGTTGGAGGAAGGAGGAGGAAGAGGAGAAGGGCCGCTGCTGCCTTTCTCCTCCCCCTCCTCCAACTGGCCATTGAAGAGGAAGAGGAGGAAGAAGAGAAGAAACGCAGCAGCGCCCCTTCTCCTCCTCTTCTTCCTCCTCCTGTTCCAGTTGGGAATGGAAGTGCGGAGGAGAGCCCCCTCCCACAATCAAGCAGCTGCCCCCCTGCTTCCATTCTCCTCCCTGCTTTTCAGGTCTCCCTTCTGGGGATGGGGGAGAGGAGGAGGAGGCAACCCCAGGCTTTTCTCTCCTTGGCTGAGCCAGGCAACACCTTCCTCCCTTCCCACCTCAGCCCCCCCCCCCCACTTTTCTAGCACCCCTTTCCCACCCCAGTATTCCCTTTTTCTAGTTTCCCCTTCCTATCCCAGTCTTTACTACCCCCATTCCCCATTCCCTCTCTCTCCACTTTCCATCCCAGCCTCTCCCAGGTTCCAGCCTCCCTTTCCATCCCAACCTTTCCCAGTTTCCAGACCCCCTTTTCCATCTCAATCTTTCCTCCTTCCCCAGTTGCCCCCTTCCCATCCCAATCTGTCCTGCTTTTCCAGATATCCCCCTTTCACCTCATTTTCCCACTTTTTCTAACACCCCTTCCCATTCTTTCTCTCTCACCCCCTTCCCCAGTCAGTCTTTTCTCTATTGTTATTACATGTATTACTTTAACTATTACATGTATTACTTTAACTATAGTCCGGCCCTCCAATGGTCTGAGGGACAGTGAACTGGCCCCCTGTTTAAAAAGTTTGAGGACCCCTGAACTAAGCAGTTGAATCTCATTCCTAAACAGGGAGTAGATATTGATGCACCTCAGTATAGAACAGGCTATGGAGGGCTGTGCAGAGCGTCCCACTGCTCCTCAGCATATATCCTTGAGGAGCTGATGATTCCATATTTATTTATTTACGACATTTATATGCTGCCCTTCTCACCACCAAGGGGACTCAGATCGGCTTACTATATATATATATACACACACACACACACACATAAATAAACACATACATACACACAATATATTATATTATTAGCATAGTTCAATATCAGTATTAAATATTACTATATTGTATTATACCAGTGTTTCTCAACCTGGGGTTGGGACCCCTGGGGGGGTCTCAAGGGGGTGTCAGAGGGGTCGTCAAAGGCCATCAGAAAACACAGTATTTTTTGTTGGTCGTGGGGTTCTGTGTGGGAAGTTTGGCCCAATTCTATAATTGGTGGGGTTCAGAATGCTCTTTGACTGTAGGTGAACTATAAATCCCAGCAACTACAACTCCCAAACGTCAAGGTCTATTTTCCCCAAACTCCACCAGTGTCCACATTTGGGCATATTGAGTATTCATGTCAAGTTTGGTCCAGATCCATCATTGCTTGAATCCACAGTGCTCTCTCGATGTAGGTGAACTACAACTCCCAAACTCAAGGTCAATTCCCACCAAACCCTTCCAGTATTTTCTGTCAGTCATGGGAGTTCTGTGTGCCAATTTGGTTCAACAGAACTCAGAAACCGCTGGACGAATTGACAACAAATTTGAACATAAGACAACAACTAAAGAAATCTATGTCCCTCACTCAAAAAACAAAAACAAAAACAAAAATTAACCGAAAAGAACTTAAACTCCCACAAGCTTAAATGACTATCAGAGCATGCCTTAAAAGAACACCCTCCCTCCCTCTCTCAAGCCGCCTCTCTCTCAGCTGTTGAGTTTTTTCCCCTCGTGCAGGAGGGAAGGGCGGGTTGAGGGTGTTCTTTCAATGCATGCTCTGTTTTTTTGAGTGAATTCCTATGCACACTGCACATATCTTATTTGTAGTGCAAAAAACACTTTAAAACAATACAATAATTAAAATGAAGAACAATTTTAACAAATATAAATTTATTAGTATTTCAATGGGAAGTGTGGGCCTGCTTTTGGCTGATGAGACAGGATTGTTGTTGTTGTTGTTGTGTGCTTTCAAGTCATTACAGACTTAGGTTAACCCTAAGCAAGGGCCGGGTAAATGACCTTGGAGGGCTGCATATGGCCCGCAGGGCTTAGTTTGTGGACCCCTGCCTTAGAGTAAGGGAATCCCAACTAAAATGTTCAAATGTGCCTTCTCAGACTAGGAACCCCATGTGCCTTCTCAGACTAGGAATCCCAGGACCAAATCCCAGAAGCACTTTAGTCAGAACCAAGACCACCTCACACTGCACATCGCATTTATAGTATAACCCCATATCCCTCCGACACATCAGCACTTTTAATCCTGTACCCCTACTCCGGCCGGCTCAGTTTTTAATAATGTCTTGTTGTATTGCTATTGTATTGTTTTTCTGCTTAATCTGTTTTTATTTGCTAGGTATTGTATTGTTGTATTGTGTGGGCTTCGGCCTGTTGTGCGAGCCGCACCGAATCCTTCGGGAGATGCTAGCGGGGTACAAATAAAGTCATAATAATAATAATAATAATAATAATAATAATAATAATAATAAAAGAGAAGACTAGAGGAAAAAAGAGAACTCAGATGGGAAAAACTTCTAACTCTCCAGAGAAGAGGTTTCCTAATGCCAGACCCAGGACTCAGGGTAGAGGATTCCAGTTGGAACACAGAAGAACAGGATGTGGTCCTCATGAGACAGAGGAGAAAAGTGCTCAACGCTCATTCAGAAGCCAGGAGCCCACGAACGAGAAGCAAGGGCTAATCTGATAGATTCAAGGGCTCTCTCTCAGGTTTATGAGAGTGCCGTTCAAAAACGAAAATTCTGTCGATACGCCAGGAATGGCATTTTTTGGAAAGAATGCACAGTTTATTTATTTATTATTTATTTACTGCCTGTCTCAGCCAATCGGTGACTCAAGGCAATTTCCAACAAATCAGTACATATAAAAACATAATACAGATTAAAACATTAAACAATATAAAACTCCACAAAAACAATAAAAACAACATCATTAGCATCTCATTATTATCAAGCATTGTCCAGTTCCATTGTCAAATCGTTCGATTTCCTATATTAGCTACTCTGCATTTGTAAACGCTCGCTCGAACAGACATGTTTTAACTTGCCTCCGAAACGTTAAGAGGGAGGGAGCAGATCTAATCTCCCTAGGGAGGTTGCTCCATAGCCGAGGGGCCACCACTGAGAAGGCCTTGTCTCTCGTCCCTGCCAAACATACTTGAGACGAAGGCGGGACCGAGAGCAGGGCCTCCCCAGACGATCTTAGTGTCCTTGATGGTTCATAAGGGGAGACACGTTCAGACAGGTAAGTTGGGCCAGAACCGTTTAGGGCTTTATAGGCCAAAGCCAGCACTTTGAATTGGGCCCATTACAATGTGGAAAAGCTCAGTACCAATCACTAACAGTATTTGCATTGGAGCAGGGGCTCTTTCTGACGGAGGATTCCTATTCAGCAAGGAGTTTTACTCTTCTCCATTTATCCTTGCTACAGCTCTGGGTTATCCTTCACTTCTCAGATGCAAATGGAAAGCACTGCTATATCACCCGAAGAGAGAAGGGCATGAATCTGTTCCTCTCAGAATTAGACAGGCAATGCTATTGATCTTAGCGGCTGAGAGGAGCATATTGATCATACAGGGTGAGGCAGCATAACTTCCTTTTTTGAGATATGCACCATTCAGTCGCTAGTGGTCTCGTTCGAGAGGTGGGAGTATAAAGTTTTGTCCTGACACAGTTCAGTTACCATCCTGCGTTGGAACAGTGAGGAACGTGCTTTTGCCGTTGAGGCCTACTTTTCGAGCGGATTTAGAGTGGCCGGCCTGCTCTCCAGATTTGACCCCTTCTGATTTTTTTCTATGGGGTTTTTATGAAATCCCGTGTTTATGTGAACCGTCCAAGGACCCTACAAGATTTGAAGACCAACATCCAGGAAGAAATTGCCAACATAACGGCTGCTATGCTGGCAAGAGTAATGACAAATGCCAGAAATCGGTTTACTCAGTGTATGGGGAACAGGGGGCGTAACCTACCAAATTTGATCTACAAAACTACGTAAAGCAAAACTTTAGGTATGAGCCTACCTTATAAAAAAAATAAAAAATTCTGATTCATACAATGGGTTTTATCAAGTTTTGCTGCCTCACCCTGTAGATTTCAGTATGGCATGTTAAATAGATTAACGAGAGTCTAGGACAGGGGTCCTCAAACTAAGGCCCGAGGGTCGGATACGGCCCTCCAAGGTCATTTACCCGGCCCTCACTTGGGGTCAACCTAAGTCTAAAACGACTTGAAAGCAAACAACAACAACAACAGTCCTATCTCATCAGCCAAAAGCAGGCCCACACTTCCCATTGAAATACTAATAAGTTTATATTTCATAGAATCATAGAGTTGGAAGAGACCTCATGGGCCATCCAGTCCAACCCCATTCTGCCAAGAAGCAGGAATATTTTTAACGTTGTTCTTAATTTTAATTATTGTATTGTTTATAAGATACGTGCAGTGTGCATAGGAATTCATTCATGTTTTTTTTTTTTCAAATTATAATCCGGCCCTCCAACAGTTTGAGGGACTCTGTTTAAAAGGTTTGTGGACTTATCTATGGGATAAGTCTCTTATTTGGTCTCTGATTTCTGTCATTTTGTCTAAAGGATTTTTTTTCTTTTTTCTCAAAAAAGAAATCGGCAGAAGAAACACAAGAAGCCAGCTGTAACAAAGCCTGGTGCGGAAAAACAGGTGTCGGGAAAGCAAAAGAGAACAAAAGCAAGGGAGAAACCACATAAATGCATGGAATGTGGAAAGGGCTTCAGACGGAAAGCAAATCTGCAGGTGCATCAAAGAATACACACAGGAGAGAAGCCATACAAGTGCATGGAATGCGGAAAGAGTTTCAGTGATAGTGGATCATATAAGAAACATCTAAAGGCTCACACAGGAGATAAACCATATAAATGTATGGAATGTGGAAAGAGCTTTGCTAATGGGGCACACCTTTGTATACATCAAAGAACACACACAGGGGAGAAACCATACAAATGCATGGAATGTGGAAAGAGCTTCACTCAGAAAGCAGGTCTACAGGTACATAAAAGAATACACACAGGAGAGAAGCCATACGAATGCATGGAATGTGGAAGGAGCTTCAGTTGCAGTGGAAGTCTACGTTCCCATCAAAGAACCCACACAGGAGAGAAACCCTATGAATGCATGGAATGTGGAAAGAGCTTCACTCAGAATTCAGCTCTTCGTGTACATCAGAAAAGACACACAGGGGAGGAATCATGTAAATGCATGGAATGTGGGAAGAGCTTCATTGGAAGACAACATTTACATCTACATCAGTGCACCCATACACGGAAGAAGCGACATGAATGCATGGAATGTGGAAAGAGTTTCAGTGATAGGAGAGCATTGACTGTACATGAAAGGAGTCACTCAGGTGAGAAGCCATACAAATGCATGGAATGCGATAAAACCTTTGGGTACATTTCAAATCTAATGGCACATCAAAAAAATCACAGAGGAGAGAAACCATACAAATGCATGGTGTGTGATAAACAATTCAGTCGGACTTCTCATCTGCGCGTACATGAAAGAACGCATTCCGGAGACAAACCTTATAAATGCACAGAATGTGGAAAGAGCTTCAGTCAGATGGCAAATCTACGTGTCCATGAAAGGACACACACAGGGGAGAGACCATACAAATGCACAGTGTGTGGAATGGGCTTCTGTGATAAAGGCTCATGTAACAAACATCTAAAGACCCACACAGGGGAGAAACCATATGAGTGCGTGGAATGTGGAAAGAGTTTCAGTTGCAGTTCTAATCTACGTACACATCAAAGAACCCACACAGGGGAAAAACCGCATGAATGCAAGGAATGCGGAAAGAGCTTCCCTACTAGTAGCAGTTTGCAGTCGCATCAAAGAACCCACACTGGGGAGAAACCTTATGAATGCATGGAGTGTGGAAAGAGCTTCTCTCATCGTCACGGGTTGCGAGCACATCAAAGAACCCACACAGGAGAGAAACCATATCAATGCCTGGAATGTGGAAAGAGCTTCAGTTGCAGCGGACATTTGCAAACTCATCATAGGACCCACACAGGGGAAAAGCCATATAAATGCATGGAATGTGGAAAGGCCTTCAGCAAAAGTGACCGTTTACATGCCCATCATAGGACCCACACAGGGGAAAAGCCATATAAATGCATGGAATGTGGAAAGGCCTTCAGCCAAAGTAGAAATTTATGTACCCATCGTAAGACCCACACGAGAAAAACCACATAAATGCATGGAATGTGGAAAGGCCTTCAACAGAAGTTGCTCATATAATAAATATCTAAGGACTCACATGGGTGAGACCATGTGAATGCATAAAATGTGGAATGAAATTCCATGGAAATATTTGTTCACTTCTTAATAATGGCAAACCAATTTCTTCTATTCCTTATATTAGGCAAATGTTCCTCCAGTAAGTCTCTTTGGAGTTCTTGGTATTTTTTTCCCTATGTATATATATTTGGATTTACCTTAATCATAATAATAATTCACTATTTATATTCTGCACTTCTCCCCGAGGGGACTCAAAACAGATCACGGCATTTACAGCAGACATAGGCAAACATTCAATGCCTTTACAGTCACATAAAATGAGACACACAGACAAAGGCTTCTCCTTTCATTTCCGGCTTCTGAAGGCAATGCTCATTTCTCGCTCTGGGAGAGTGTTGGGTTTCATCCCTGACTGCACAAGTCTCCAGCTCTCAATGAGTAGATAGCCTAGATAGACTTAGGGATTCCTCCCCAATTTCCTTTATTCTAGGATGGTTAAGAAGGGGTTAAAAGGGGGAATTGTCTCACTTATCTTTGCATGGTACTATCTCCTCCCCATTTGAATACCTAGGAATGTAATCCTATAGGGAAACATAACTTCCTCTTTTAAAGGTATTTTTATTGCCCTGGGCTGGCCATGTGGCCTGTCTCCATTTTCAGGTCTCTTCCCTTTTGTCTTCTCTAGAGTGAGGAAGCATCTTGCCATTGTCTAGGCAAAGATGTAGTAGACATAGTTACTTTTATTATTTTTCCTTTTCCTTTTACCTTAGAAGATAGCTCAGTGAAGCTAGTTAGCTCCAAGAACCTTTCCTATCTAGAATGGATTTCTTTTATCTTTAATAAACATATTATTTTTGATCCTATGAGTTGTGGATCTGCAATCCTGTTCCGTCCTGCTGAATGGAAGTCAATCCTTGCTCACTACATGTAAGTTTCTGCTGCTTATTTACTGTGCATCCTGCAATCTGCTATATTTTTGGTGGAATCAACGCCAGAGAGGGTTATATTTGAGCCTAACAGCTCTTGATTCCCAACAGAGAGGTGCTTTTCTCAATTTTCTTTTCTTTCTTTATTTTTAAATTATCTTTATTAGAAATTTTATATACAACTGTTAAATGTAAGGGAGAAAAGGGACTGGAAGGGCTTGGGAAGACTGGGACGGGTTGGGACAGGTGGTGCTCTGGAATATGAGTGTAGGAGCTAGGGGATGCGTGGGGGAGAAAGGGGAAAATCATCTAGGAAAAGGAAAATAAGAAGACCGGAAGAGAAAAGGAGAAAAAAGAAAAGAAAGAGGAAATATATACAAATAGAGAATAAAAATGCAAAACTGTATGTTGGCTTCCACCTTCTTTTTCCCTGGGTCGTGTTCTTTTGTACTCTTGGATCCTTTATTTGGGTAATACATGGTCACTTCTCTGTTATAGTCTATGATTTTTATCCTCGTTAAGGAGTGCAAAAGTATTGTAGGTTCTGCTGCCTCTTCAGGTAGTCCTTGCATGGTGTCCAGTCAGGGGGTGTTAATGGTTTACCTTTTGGGTCTTTCAGGTCGAATGTTAGTATATCCATGTCCATTATTTCCCAAAGTTTATTTTCCCATTCTTCTTTGGTTGCTTGTTCTTTTATTTTCCATTTCTTTGCGTATGTAATTCTGGCAGCTGTTGTTATGTAGATAAACACTTTGTCTTTATTTTTATCAAGGTCAATGTCTCCATCCATAATTCCCAGGAGAAAGTATTCTGGTTTTAATTGCACTGTCGTTTGTTGAATCTTCTGTGAAGCTTCTTGTATAATTTTCCAGTACTTTCTTGCAATAGGGCAAGTCCACCACATGTGATATAATGTTCCCACCTGTGCTTAGCATTTCTGGCATTTGTTTTGGGGCTCCTTATACATTAAACCCAGTTTCTGTGGAGTCATGTACCAACGGAAGAACATCTTATACCAATTCCCCTTCAGCTCGCTTGCGTACATATATTTCAATTTCACTTTCCACATCTGGTCCCATTCCCTCAAATTTATTGGTCTCCCTATATTTCTGGCCCATTTCACCATACATTCCTTTATTATTTCAATCTCAGTGGACCACTCTAGTAACTTCAGATATATTTTGGTTATAGAATCATAGAATCAAAGAGTTGAAAGAGACCTCATGGGCCATCCAGTCCAACCCCATTCTGCCAAGAAGCAGGAATATTGCATTCAAATCACCCCTGACAGATGGCCATCCAGCCTCTGTTTAAAAGCTTCCAAAGAAGGAGCCTCCACCACACTCCGGGGCAGAGAGTTCCACTGCTGAACGGCTCTCACTGTCAGGAAGTTCTTCCTCATGTTCAGATGGAATCTCCTTTCTTGTAGTTTGAAACCATTGTTCCTTGTCCTAATCTCCATCGAAGCAGTAAACAAGCTTTCTCCCTCCTCCCTGTGGCTTCCTCTCACATATTTATACATGGCTATCATATCTCCTCTCAGCCTTCTCTTCTTCAGGCTAAACATGCCCAGCTCCTTAAGCCGCTCCTCATAGGGCTTGTTCTCCAGACCCTTGATCATTTTAGTCGCCCTCCTCTGGACACATTCCAGCTTGTCAATATCTTGAATATTGGACACAATATTCCAGGTGTGGTCTAACCAAAGCAGAATAGAGCGGTAGCATTACTTCCCTAGATCTAGATGCTATGCTCCTATTGATGCAAGAAGTTATGACCTTTTCCTTTTGTATTAATGTTTCCCAAAAATCTTCCTTCTCAGCAAATCCTATCAGTGAATCTTTACTGAAGTGTTCCCTTATTTGAAGCATTTGAAACCAAAATATATTCTTGTATTCTTTTGTTATCTCTTCTTGTGGTTTAATTTGAAATTTCCCGTCCTTCCTTCTTTCTTAATGTCTTTTATGTGGGCCATTCGGTCCAGCCTAGCAGTCTCCGATGGTTGGCTTCTAAGGGTGAGATCCATAATGATGTTTTTGAGTAGAAATTGTCACCTCCCAGTTGTGTGCCCAGCAAGACTACTTGGAGTTTCTTTTGCCTTTTCCTGCCAAAGCGGTAACTATTATATTTTATAAGGTAAAGTAGGTTATATTTTATAAGTCAAAGGCTTCTTCTTTCATTTCCGGCTTCTGAAGATGATGCTCATCTCTGGCTCTGGGGGAGTTGTTTTTCTCCATTTTCAAGCTGAGGAGCCTGCATTGTCACCTCCCGGTCATGTGGCTGGCAAGACTGCTGGAGACTGGGACGTGGAACAGTGGCTTCAAACTACAAGACAGGAGATTCCATCTGAACATGAGGAAGAACTTCCTGACTGTGAGAGCCATTCAGCAGTGGAACTCTCTGCCCTGGCGTGTGGTGGAGGCTCCTTCTTTGGAAGCTTTTAAACAGAGGCTTATGGCCATCTATTGGGGGTGCTTTGAATGCAATATTCCTGCTTCTTGGCAGAATGGGGTTGGACTGGATGGCCCATGAGGTCTCTTCCAACTCTCGGATTCTATGATTCTAGGAGTGTCTTTTGACTTTTCCTGCCAAAGCGGTACCTATTGATCTTCTCATATTAACATGTTTTCAAATTGCTAGGTTGGTAGGAGCTGGAGCTGACAGATGGGAACTCATCCCACTCCCCGGATTCGAACCGCCAACCTTTCGGTCAGCAAGTTCAGCAGCTCAGTGATTTAACCCACTGCACCACCAGGGAGCCCACCACGATGATTAGTGGCCTCTTATCTGTTGCAGCCATCATCTACCTTTGCAGCCGTGTGCTCAGTGGTGATAGTGGGAGGGGATTTCAAGAGCTGCTCCAGAGAGCATAATGCTGCAATGTCTTGCAAGATGGCTGCTTCCCATCCTGTGGTCAGAGGAGGTCAGTTGGTGACAGTGGGAGGGGCCCTCAGGAACTGACACTCACCAACTGACCTTCTGCTGGCCACTGAGTGGGAGGCGGTCATCCAGATTCGACTTGTGGATTTTTAGGTCAGCAGTTCAGCAGCACCAGCATTTAACCCATTGCACCATCGCAGTATACAGGCGGGGTTATTCTGTAAGAATGTGAAGAGTTGTCAAGATTTAACATCTACAAAGAGAAAACAACTGTTTTGATTGGGAATTCCACTAAAACGGAATTTAAAACCTTGAGTGAAAAACCGGGCTTCCGGGTTGCTCAAAAGCTCACATTTTTGGGAGTGAATATCACCACCAAATATTCCAACTTATCTATATAAATAAAAATGTTCATTTGTGAATGACCTCAAATCTCCCAAAATACTTCACCGATTGCTTCGAAACTTGGACAGCGTAGCGTTTGGACAGACAAATGTTTTTTACATGCCCACTATTATGTAGATGTCACACCTCTGACAGGTAAAAACATGCTTTGCATCAAAACATTGCCATCTGCTGGACGTCCAAGAAAAACATCACGAAGCAACCCTGTCAGGACCTGAGCTGCCATTCGGGATCCACGGTCTGGTCGCCCCCACCTGGCCCTGCCTGCCTGCCTGCCTCCCACCAGAGTAGAACTGGGAGAAGAAGTGTGGGAAAAGGCATCCTGGCAGGTAGGGAAATCCAGGGTGGGGCATGGGCCCAGGGGAGGGAGCAAAGGAGGTAGGTCCAGCCCAAGCCCCAGGATCCTGTAGTCACACGCCCTGCCCAGTATTACCCGGCACCTCAAGCACTCACCTCCAAAAAGGCTTAGAAGGCAGAAAGGATTGAATGGTAGGAACAGAGAAATAGATAGGAGGGAAGGAAAGGATTATCCCCCAAACACACTGATCATTATTATAAAGACCAGTCTCATCATCATCATCACCATTATTATATATGCTGTTATTAGTATTTACACCATTATTATTATTATTATTATTATTATTATTATTATTATTATTATGTTCATTATTATTTCACAGACAATGGAACAACAAAAAATATTGTATATCCACAAGCATTATGAAATAACATATATTAGAAACCAGCTCTTTCTCTTTTCCATTTTACCAGACTGGGCCACAGCAACATGTGGCCGGGTACAGCTTGTAATATGATCCATATATTTTAAA